GAAAAGATGATGCAAAAAAAGTTTATCCTTATCTCTTCTCTCTCTTTTTTCTGCCAACTATGATAGTCCCGAACACAGAGATCACAAGAATAACTTAAGATGATCCGTAAAACAGGCATTTCAAATTAGTTGCGCTTCTTCACATTTACTGCAAATTTCTAAGTCAATTTCTGTCTGATATCTGTATCAGAATGTATCCTCGTTAACTGGTGTCCTAAACCACATAAATAAAGAATGCGTTCCGTTCTATTCTCTTCCTCCTCTCTCCCATACACATACTGTCTGTTAGCACACCCACCAAAATAAATTTCGAACCGGAAAAGAAGTGTTCTTTAGGAATTTTTGTTGTTGTTGGGAGGACAGACGGTAGTCCCGGTGGTGTTTCGGTCATCTCAGTGTGCCACAGACGAGCCACGACCACACAGCTACCCAGTCAGACATTACGAGCGTCGTAAATGCAAGCAAGTATCCTGCTGTTCGGTTTTACAGCTTGAAATTGTCGCTGTGTTACGAACTGTTTACTTACTCTGTCACAAAGTTCGATCTTGTTGAGGGTTCAATTTTTAAAAGATAATCGGCAGCATCATGTTGCCTGGTTGTTTGTTTTTAAAATGGGTCGGTGTATAGGTGGGCTTTCTCGGGTAGGGTGGATGAGATTCAGTGATGGCCACCATCCTAACCCATTCCTCCTCCCCCATACCCATAGGAACATCTGTCCCAAGCAGTTGTTAGGGCTGACAAACAGACGGTTAGTACAGGGCAGTATTGCCAGGAGGAAGTGGGATGTAAGGGTATGGTTTACCTCTGCCCATTAGTACATTTGATGACCTGCACAAATTGTATAAGGGCGTCTCACTCTTCTTCTGGGACATGTGCTCTGTGGTGGTACCTGTTCCAGACCCCAACTCTGCCTGCCTCAACAATTCATCCGACAGTGAACTACAAAACCCTATCCATGACAAACGTCGCTTGCAGTTGACGCCTGTCTCCGTTACCAAGTATGCACACACACGCGGTGCACACATTACCAACTATATGTACAGGCACATCATGCTGTGTAGTTCCTAAATCTCTGACACAAGCATACGTTCAAGTACACAAACAGGCCGCTACGTCGTCAGTTTACGCACGTGGAAGCATACACACAAACCCTGCCAACCGACCGACCGACTGACTGACCGAGTAGTGTTGGTTGATGGTCTGTTTATTGACAAGCCGGCCCATTAAAACCTCAATGAACGAGTTGACTTGTAAAAATCGCGTTATCTGCCGCCAATTCCATGAGCTCCGTCCACATCATCAAAATGCACGATGAATCATACACAGCGTAGAGAAAACCTTGGTCCACCGCTGAAATCTGATACCTCTACATTCAAGCCACTTTCGTTTACCCCACAGCGGGTGATGTCTTTCAGCGCGGGAGAAAAACAAACGGGTTTTAAATGGGTCTGATCTGTACTGGATCGCATGGATATGGGGTTCACAGGTGGCCAGCCGGATTATCTGATTACCGCGGAACAACAATCTCACACTAGCCTAGTTGACATGTAGTTACCCTGGGAGTACCTTTTTCCGAGACTAGGGGTGGATCTTCGTGGACCTTAGTCGAAAAACCAATCACAGTGCAAAAATGGTCCACATTTCAATATCATAAACCTGGAGGAACTCATCGAGTTAAGAATTCGGAAGAAGCTCAGATTGTGTTACAATCTTGTGAGAAAATCTCTCCAATTTTTATCTTTGTGGGATCTGGTGATTTCAAAAGTCGTAAAACGTTGATTCGATGCTTGAACAGGCATACCAAAGTGTCGCTAGTCATTAGACGCTGCGGGAGAAGAGTTTACTTGATGGTATAACTAGAAAGCAATCTCTAAAACGAGTGCAATTCTGTTCCAATACCAGCTACACCTAGAATTAAACAAACACAGGTTGTTCGTAGCTTTTTCCAAGCTCCAGTTCACTTATGCAGACAGCGAACAATTTTGATCGAATCCGGGATCAGCTATCTTTTTGTATCATTTTTGATTCCATTGTCGGTCAACCTGATGATTGCTTATCGGGAGCAGTTTATTGTTTTGTGATCCTGTGTCGTCTATCTCCGGCGAATAGGTCGACTGGAATGTGTAATAAATGTGCTCTTTAATTTGGCCAGAGTTTTGCAACCTGATCACCCCCACCTCGCACCTTCAGTGTCACCAATGGCGTCTACCGATAAATGGTAATTTTTCACTCAGCAGCGGTGAGCGTCCACTTGCTGCCTACGACGGTAAATATACTCGATATGGTTTCGTTAGACCGAAAAAACAGTCAATAATATACTATATCATTACGCCAGTAACTATTAACTCAAGCACAAGCCAGTCAGTGTAATGAATCACAATTGTCTCATCAATTGATCTCACAACTTCTTTTGGAACATGTATCAGTGAATGACCCCTGCCCCCTCCACTTCGTCCACTCTGTATGTGGTGGGCACGTCATGTTGTGATCCGTACTGTGCATCGCGTTGTTCTATGTCCGTTTCCAACACACGTACGGGTTACCATTTGTTGACCAATATATTTTTCATTTCATTTCTGTCCGTCAAAAGTGNAAAAGTGACCTCTTTGATCCATAGTCGAATGCGGTTAGGGTTTCTCTGTTTTAGGCATAAGAGTGGGGAGGGAAACAGGACATTATTTAAAATTTCAAAACTTTTTATTTTGATTGTTGCTCACTTTGAATGTAGGTTTCAATTTACATTGGTTCGAGTACTCCGGGACGGATAAATTGTCAGCAGTTTGACCACGTTTTCTCATCCCTGAAGCTTCAAAAAGCAGTGTCATCGCTGGCTGGCTTTTTTTCTCTCACTAAGATTTTTGGTCCGCTGTCGGAAGATCGTTTCAAATCCGAAATTTCACTTACTCAATCAATTTAGTAGCAACTTTTTGAGTCGTTTTAATCTCTTCAAGCTGCAATGTCCGCTTTTGGGATCGCGGCCTTTTGCTCAGATTAGGGCATTCAGATTAGAAGAGAGCAAACCTTATCACGTGACAATCCAACAAAGCCCGCTTTCAGTTGACTGGGGACAAAATTTGATTTGTCCTTTAAAATAGTGCAACCGTGTTCCGCTTGTCAATATTTTTAAGCGGTTGACTGTCAGTGAGTACTACAGGGGGAACGATCCGCGGGAGACTCATCGCCAAAACAACGAGTGTACTGGATGGGTAAACACTCTGAGTATAGTACGAAAGCTCACTGTGTGAAGTCGTTCAATGAATGCCAGACCCTTATCAAGTTATGTTGCGGTACACGACGATTAGATGAATAACTTCATGGATTCTTTCACTAAGTAATTAGTTTTATCGCTGAATAGAAAGGTATGGATGATAGATATATCTCAGTATGTCTGTTTCATTTTTAAAGCATTTTGTGACATCGAAATTCAATTTTTATTTAAAGCAATCAAGGTTTGTATTCTATCCAAACTTGTGGCAAAGGAAAAAAATAGTAGCTAGCGTACACCCTGCTATAAAACTTTCGTATTACTCTAGAATTGTCGTGGTGGTGGCGCCGTGGTTTAGTTACTCTCGCCGGCGTGCTTTGTAACCTATGGTCCGAGGTTCGAGCTCCGCCACCGCTACCCGACTTTGACGGTAGGCAGCTCTGTTATCGTCCGGTTCAATACCATGCCTAAACTATCGAGGCCTTATGTGGTTCACCACTCCCGGGGTTTAGGTTGCCGGTTTCCACCCTTGAACAGCAGGTCCTCGTGATTATGGGGTTTTCCCCGTCTACCGTTCATCACACATAGGTGTGTATTAAAAAGTATATCTGCTTCTGGGTGAAGCATAAAAAACAACTGGGGGTGTAATTTCAATAATCAAATAAGAAATTTTAACATCTTTGTTTTTAATAAAGAATATAAGACTGAAAATGTAATCCAATACCGCGACAGTAGTATCGTACACCCCCTCCCCCAACCCACCCACGAACATCGGGTTTAATTCAAATGAAGCCAGTTATATTGTAGAGTAGTCATTCCATATTGGAACTTTGGCGCGTGTTTGAGTCATTCCCAGAATACCCATTCCACATTTCACACTCGACATATCCACAACCCCGTGACAGAAATCAGAAATACGGAAAGTGGAAACATTTGCATTTAAGTCATGTCTTCATCAAACACTCATAGTGACCACGCAGGTAAATAATCTGTTCCAACCATCTCCCCGGAAAATTTCAGAGAAATCTAAGAACAGGTTGCTACGTTTGTCCTCCAAGGTTTCCAAGGCTAATATTATAGAAATGAAAACTAACCTTGAACTAACTATTTCAAATCTAACAATACAATGAACTCTGGAATACGTATCATGGAATAGGTACATCTAAATGCTAAGAAGAAAAACTCGCTGAGCACTTCGAATATAGGCATGTTTATTATGTCCTGAAATTCACATTACATATAGCTGAACAAATGAAAAGGTGTCTCCTTCAGGGATGATTTGGAAGAATCAGATTCTTGGAACTGCTACTGATTGACGTGTATGAAGATGAACAGTAGTTTCACTAACGGGTCAATCATAGAAGTTCACCGATGCTGTGGGGCGGGTTTTCGGTTCGAGCAGCAACCTCGACATTCCACATGGCGTTTAACATTCCAATGAGTATGTTGGTACACTGTAACACCATCGACTGGAGAAAATTCAGTTGAATGGTCCGGCATAGGCCTTATTCCAGCATGATATATATCGTTGTTAACAACTCGCGACTGACTAGAAGCTGGTTATTATTTTGCGTGAAACCTGGATCTCAGCCCAATGCTGAACTCAAAAGCTTTGAACCAAAGGATAAAACGGAGACAGTCGTAAAACAGAAATATCTGTCTGTACGAAAATAATGTATGACAACACCTCGCATCCGGTATTCTCAAAAGGTGTATTAGGGTTCTGAAACGGGGCAGCTACTCCACTGAATAATAATGTGCTTCAATGGCATCGAAAGCTAAAAGAGTGCATCACTTTCGTCAAGGCAGTACTTAATCTTTTATCACCTTTTCTGTTTAACAAAATTAAGGCAACAGAAAGGTTTTCTTAAGCCTTTTAACTCAACTATTGTGTATACAACCAAAAATAGTTATTGTGTCACAGTCAGAAGTGGAGATACTTCGAAAACCTATGGGGAGTAAATGAACCCCGGTGTTAACTGGACGTTGTGGTAATGCCTATCATAGAAGGTCACAAATGGTATTTAAAAACCTGGGAACACGGGATTGTTTATTTGATAGCGGTCCATTGTGTTCGAGACCTCATGAACGGACAGAACTCGCACTAAAACCTTTTATGATAACTCACAGAGTATTTTATGCCAACTACGCCGGTGTTCTACCCTTAGTTATTTTTTCATACTGTGAAAAGCTTTCAGTGGAGAGCGTGGGGTGGGGAGTTGAAGTCAAATATAAGAGAATCGTGTTCCATAACACATTTTTTCCAGAAAACTTAGGAGATGGATCAATCACATCAATTCTCTTGCGTGCTGACGCATATTTGCAGATACAAGTTTAAGGTTAACACCAACGAGATTCGCTAACGGGCAGGATGTGGTTGTGAAATCGAAGATACCTGGAGCACCAGGACCTGCCAGGTCCATTCTTATTTGTGCATAAACCGCCGTTTAATGTTAAAGTGATACAAGCACGTGTCTTTACACAGCGTCTGAACACCGTTCTGTTGACAGTTACAAATAGCCTAGCACTGTTCTGTTCGAATAGTTCTCGACGAGTGCAACTATGAGAGATCTGAGAAAAGTGATCAATCATGGGAGGTGTATTATTTTGGCGGTTAATCGTTATCGCGATAGTCATCCGTGCCGTCATCGTGATGTTTTCTCATCACCCAGGTAAGATAAAAAAGTCATTTTCAAGATAAGTGACAGGCAACATGTTTCATATCAGTACAGCGCTGCATGTACCATGCACGAAAAAAAAAATTTTATTGCAAGTAACTTCAACTGGGATTATTCTGCATAATAATCTAGTACTGAATAAGGTTAGATTTTCTTTTGGAGTGAGGTAGACGATTTTTTATCGTGGTGCTGTACATGCACGCAAATTGAGAGAGGGGAAGAGTTGCTCTTCATTTTGACTACAACACTATCTGAATTTCAACATAGTGCTCGTTTCATATCTGGCAAGCCTTTGGTCTGTTCCGTATGAAACACAGTATACGTGGGTGGTGCTTTAAGGCAGATTCAACCTTTTGGATTTGATAAATCCAATGAGAACGGTTTACGCCCAATGACTCAAGAGCACCGGTAACCCTCCTTGCTTCCCTAAATAAATGTATACAATTACATCTTAAATAAAATCTACCATGGAAGAAACAACGGAGTAAGCATAAACAATTGCGGAATGGTGTCTCTCAACCGTGTTGTCATACAGGGCGTTCTCCGGTTTTCACTAAGTGCCCACACTCTCTAGGGACTCATCAGGCTTTGCGCTCTACTGATCACAGAATTTTTAATTTTGACCCCTGTTTTCCTGCCTACATTGTGCCCAATTGTGGTCAATGCTCAGATCAGTCCAGGCAATCAAACAAATTCTAGAAAAGACCCATATAAGCAGCCAACAACTGTTTCGCCCAAACTCCCACACACATAATTTGTGGCAACGCCTTTGGCATCATCTCATCATCATCATCATCATCCGGTTTCCTTTAATCTAAACCGAACAAGAAGCGCGTTTTTCGGAGTATCTCACAATAGTCATCACTGTTGTGTGAATCTAACGTGTGCAGCTCTGTTTTTGTTCCACTCTTCCGTTCCTTCGCTTTGATCCGGAGAAAACAGGCCCCGATATTAAATGAGCATCTTCTCTCCCACAAAAACCCAAACATTGTTATTTTTTGTTGAATGAGAACGTGCGGCCAGATTCGGAATATTTAACCTTTCATTATAATTCTCGTCCCACCATGATTGCTTTTGTGGGTACTGCACGTTCGAATCGTGTGTAATTGGCACACTTCTAGGCCCCCAGTAGGGTCACAAAGAAACCTGACGTGGTACAATTGTACTTCTATATTCACTCACATAGATTTCCATACCCTTCTTGGTCTTGTCGTCAAATTGTTTTCTCCATGCATAGACTCGTCGGAAACAAGCTGTGCCACACTGTATTTTCCAGATGGTTTTGTGGTCCTCAGGGGCATACGTCCAGTGCCAATATAAGTGATTACGGTCACCGAATTCATTCAAACCAGCAGCAAATATGGTTATGCTGAAAAACGTCACTTAACATTTGGTTTCTTGCCTCTTCTCATAGGTTGCTGTGACGTAAAATACAAGATACTTTTGATAAAGATGATGAATTGTTGACAGATACAGCATGTAAGGCAAATTCAGTCCTACATTCTCTTTCATAGCAAATAAGTCAATTGGTGCAGACGGTTTTGTGCATTTTAAAATGAATGACCCGGCTTGATTACCTGTGTTTTGCTGATGATTACTGAAACCCTATAATTCGGGTTATTTAACCACGAGCTTGAACGATCACATTGCCTCAAGTTGATTATAACAACCGTGTGGGGATTTGTTCGGGTAGTGTTGTGATCGAGACTGGTTCATTCTGCCAACATGAAGCAGAGAACAGACTGCCTGTTGTGTCAGTGGTTATCTAGGCGCGGTCCTTCGGCATACGGTTGCAGGCGAAATTGCCTTCAGCGACTGGCTCGCTTCATTCATTAGATCAGTGGTGGAGGAACCCGCTTTTCCCTAGTACTTTGGGATTATGAAATTGGGGCTTTCTGCTATTTGTGTGTCCATCAATCAACTGTGTTTAACAAAAATTATCCTCCACACCTAGCACTTGATTCCACGTTATGGCAACTGAAGGATCAAAATGAAATACTACCATTTCGCATTATGTCTTCTTTTTATTCTAACAAACTGAGAAAAGGAAATCCGTATTTTTTGTTGAATATGATTTTTGTAAATTTGTACATGGTCACTTTCTTAATGAGTGACTCATTAAAAAAAATATTTGTTATCTTTAAATAACTTTGTCCACCCCTAAATTCGTCCATTAAAATATATGCTCTGTTATCATCTGAAAATAAACAGATCGGTGGAACCAAGCACGGCTTATTTCTCCGGTAACGTCAGTGATGGTATCAGTTCGATTGTGGCTGAAAATCACATCGGAAATACTCGACTACTGGCCAGATTTACAGTGAGCTAATTTCCTGGTCTCGTGTTTGTTTACTTTTTATCATGTTTTTTTTACAATTCACAATGGCACAATGCTTACATGAACGTAACCGCAACCGGAATACTGGGTCACCCTAGTCACGTAACGACACACGCAGCAAGGATTTAAATTCATCGAATCTATTTCGCTTGATTTATTTCTCTTTAGCGTAAATAGAGCTCCCTTTGTGTCAGTTTTGGTTGCATCATTGATAGTGTTATACACCCGATTTGGCTGGTGGAATATACCTTGTTTTGTGATCATAGCAACAAATCTCTCTCATTCTGATATCAAGCAACCCCTGAATTCCCACCCACCCATTACAGTTGTTCCCACACCCATGTGTAACCACGCCCTGATAAGCGAGCTAAGCAGGGTCATCCATGTTTGCCTGTCTGCCTGTCTGAATGACTGACTGATTCAGTCCCTCATCCTCGATTCTCCTACAATGACTCCCATCCGTGAATTTCAACCACACTGGACTTCTCTGACCTGCTAATCCAAGGTCGTCGATGTCGAATCGAACAACACATGAAGAAGCCACCATGGTATGAAATAGATAAACAAATTCGCGGTTACCATGGCACTTGTACCTGTTACCAGCTGAGTAAGCTACTCAGTTGACGTTTGTATTAGAAGCCAGGCGGCCACGTTTCAATACTTAATCCGTTAAAACCTGCCACATATTTGAAAAATTTCATCCCCAAAATTGAATTACATGCAACCTCTACAGTGCCCTAATGTTTACCAGTTTTGGCTACACGTGCACTGTGTTTAATTGGACTAGATTAGAAAAATCAATTAGACTAAGCTAATAATCAATCGTATTGAGTGGTCACGCCCATGAACAATGGACTACATGAATCGTATAGTTATAATCATGAGCCTTAAACTACATGATTTTCTACTTTTTTAACTTTTGGATCGAGACCACGAAACGGACTTTGGCAGACGGATATGTTTTTGTGTGGAATTAGATAAAGACTGTCATAGAAAGGCACTGTTATGATATACCAACTTGTGAATCCGATCCATTACCATGAAATGAAGCTATACGAAAAAGTCGAAAACATAACCAAGTTATATTGGGATAGATTTTATTGTATCTTATCAGGTGCACACTACAGATTACACAACACAAATCTTTAAAACTGTTGGATAAAATTACCGATAACATATGTATAAATTTTCATAGTTATACCCGAGAAACATAGGAGAAACAAATAATTCCGTTTGGTTGCACAAACTAGGTTTTTCATCCCTGAATCTCAACCACTCCAGCAGGGCGCAGTACAGTAACTGTGACTTGATGTTAGATATAACCACAAAGAAATAAGAATATTAGTCAAATCGATACCTTTCTCAAACGGCTCGTGATGGAAGGGATTGAGTCGATAATCGAATATTTTTGTGATATGCACCGAAAGAGATACGACGAAATCGAACTAGATACAACTCATCCAAGCTAACAATTTATGTCCTCAAGATAAATTTGGTCCAGTAACTGATGATCCAGATCACGTGCTTTGTCTGGGCTAATTGCATTAGCAATCACCCTTAGGCAACGATTTATGGATTACCTGTGTGAGAACGGACAAGTCATTTGTGGGCAATGTTACAAATTACGAAGCACATATAGCGATCGATAAGCTTGTTATTCACCTTTTGGGTCACTACACTCCTGCGGTATCGTTAAAATGTGGCGCAGATCTTAACATCTGTCGTAACGCTCAATATAAGAGAAGCTCATTGTCACTTAGTAATGGATGCGGTTTGTGCAACAGCACACCACTCGGTTCTCACCCTCAACCTAACAAAGTCCTATGGGATGCAATCATGCCAGAATATACCATGCTGTGTACCGTCACTTTTGAAAACAACTTAAGGAAGTTACTATACAATTAGGAATGTTTCCTCGTATCGATGAGAAATATTGATTGCGTCACAACGGAGAACCGTTTTAGTTAGAAATGACTATCCTCAAACTTGGACTTCGACCACCATCCTCAGTACATCCATACATTCAATCCCATAATCGGGAAGCACCAGACCCAAGTTCGCCTTTTTGTGAGGCCTAGTCAGCTGTGCATATTCATCGACTATCCGGGATTTAAACTTCAGACTCCTCATCTGGATTGTTTGTCGGGAACGGGGGGTGGGGGAGTGAGCGGTTGGCACTATGTCCACCAGCTCACAGCAGACCTAGATAAAAAGAAAACCAAGTTTATTTGGGTTTCACCTTCAATGACAGACAGTCAATCTTTTGGGGTCTGAAAGTTACAAACGGATACAGTCAGTTTGTTAACTCCAACTGAACGGATTTTATCAAATCAATTCTCATATGCAAGTTTGGTAGAGATTTTGAATTGTATTCAAAACTCCCTATTGTCTATCTGATATAAACTTACTATCTTTTATAACGAGAAGACATGATTTCTCCAATCCTGCATTTTCATGTTCGTCGAAATTTGCGAATTAATGTATTTCAGTATTATACACTTTGGGGGGGGGGAGAGTTAAAGTCCTGGGGAGTGGAATGGCATTTAATTACGAGTGTGAGCTTATCTACTAGCTTGTGTTCTCATGAACACCCCATGGAGGATTTTCTTTCAACTGATTTTATCGTTTCACTGTCTGTATTAGGCAACTGGTGCGCTTCCACTTTGTGTCGGTGTATAAAAGTAACTCAACCCCAACCTTTTAATGGGCGCATTGGATTGCAAATACTGCTGATTGTCGATTAGCGAGATATCACTGGCGATTCAAATGACTGGGATGGATGAGTCTTTTTGTTTCCTAGATAGAAATGATTTAATATTCATATCCGCAATACTTGTACAATACGAAGACTAATGCCTAATGGTTAGGATTGTAGCCATCAGTCACTATTTATACATATATCATGAGCCGGGTCATATAATACCTAACCACGTAGACTGTAACTGCAATCTGTTCGCACATTCACATGATATGATCGATTAAGAATAAGAACAACAATTCTATGATTCAATTACATTCAAAGTGTATGATTGGATTTATTTATTTGGAAGTTAATCTCCATCTCAATGGCTGCCGTCAAAATTAACTGAAACATATTCATTGGTTACATGAAACTGATTCAGTCAGTCTTTTGAAAGTCCATTGGACCCATAAAATTGCATTGACATTTTTAAGACATACTTAAAGCGAATCGTTCCTAGCATGGAGAACAAAGCGGTTCATTATTTCGACGGTCTCAATGAATGGCATGTATGATAGCTTGACCGTATGCGACGCACTTTTTTATTATCCTTGAATAGATCTTCCCATCTATTCCGGCTTCATTATGTTTTGCTTGCGCATTATGACTTTAGGTTCGCAATCTTCGCAGACACAGTCTGATCCCTGCATCTCGATTGATAATTGACTGGCCGTATGAAGTTGCTGGTGATGTCACCGAACCACATGGCAAGTACTTATTGTACCTTCTGGAGATCCCCCGTGTCATACAAAACCTGCCAACCAATCCGGAGGAACATCTGGTTAACACCACATCGGTGGTTTGCGATTCTCAAGCCCTGGAAAAACTAGTCAATCCACACCATTATCGGGTAAGGAATATTAGCCTGAAGCTTTGTAAGTAGCAATTGGTCAACGAGTCAGTCATCATTCTCACAGCTATTGAGTAATCAGTTTGATGTTCAGTAACATTTGACACAGACTAGTTTGGAACACATGGGACAGAAATACGTGAAATGAAGTCACGGACGTTTTCTGATGCGAATCAGGGAACTTCAATATACCTTCTGCATTTCAAGCAGATAATTTATACAAATAGAATGTCCTTCACATACATATATACACAAGCATAGAATAGCATAGCAAATGACAGTGTACTTTATGCACACGGCAAACTTTACATGCGTATATGTATATGTGCGCTTCGGGATTATTACTTCAAGATGTACTGCTACTCGAAGGCTCGTTGAGAAGGACTGACTGCAGCGAACAACGTAAAACAAATCTGACTACTAATGAGTAGCTTATCTATAAAAACGACATTTAACTATTATGTCCCTAAGCTGACAAGGAAAATTACTCGATGAAGAATCAAATTATCTGGTAACAGGCTAATACATATTATTTTCTTTTTAAGTGAGAAATTCCCTGCTTTCATCGTTGCTTTCTTATCCTACTGTTGAAATCCATCAGTACTTGGGATTGGTCACGGAACTACGCACGAAGCAGGGTTTTGAGCTAAAGAAAAGTCGGGTCTTGAGGAGGAATTCTTACTGCATCCTCTATTACTGGCACACAGCGCCAAACCCTTGTGCTACTGAAATAGAATCTTAAACCTCATTGAAGCACAATTTATTTCGAAGGTTTTGCAGTAATCCATCGAACATGGCGAAACTTTTTGTGGAATTACTTCTCGGACCCACCGCACGCTCTTTCGTGCATGGGCAACTGTTATTGTTGAGATGGTCTTATTTTATTCTCTTAAAATTTTAAATCGATCGTTTCCAGGTTTTTTCTTCCCTGCAAAATGCGCTAGAAGGAGTTCCCGTTCGGACTGAACCGGTTGATTTACCTTCAAGTCATCCCGTCGACTATCCACCTTTGTCTTCGCATTTGACTCTCGAACCAGTTCCCGCTCGTTTATCCGATACCAAATCTCAAGTGAAACGGAAAATGACTACGGTGGTGAGTGTGATACCTTTTCAGTTCAGAACTATTCAGATAACAGATAACAGATACAGATAACCATTATGGTATTCCTATATCTACAATGGTAATAATTCTATAATATTTTTTAGAGAAACATAATATTATTTCCCAATCACTTTTGAACACACAAAATGAATTTTGTAGAAAATCCACTCGTTTCGGAAAGCATTGACCTACGTTAATGTGTAATTTGTCCTGATAGCCCTGGTTATTGTGATGACATTCACTACCTTCAACTTCCTGTCTTGTAAAATTTTACTAACGATTAGAACTAAAGATACTCAATCTTGCGTCAATTCTGCGTCGATGTGGACTAGACAGCAATAATTTAGTGGACGATAATGACTGAGTACCCGATTTAACGATACGAAAAATGAAAAATAAAATATCCTCATTCAGTGGGTGGGCGCCACTTCACTCTTGTAATATAACTTGATCGTACCAGTACTAACCGCAACATTGAAGCCGCGTGGAATAGAATAAAGATATCTTTAGCGGAATAATTGTTCTTTATGATTCCGAAACACGCTCTTCTCAATTGAAAATATAAAGCATAAGTGAACAAATTAATTGATAATGTGAACTTAGTTCAAATCACATTGCTTCGACAGGCACAAGTTTGATGTTTAAACTGTGAAAATATCAATAGCCGCGATGGGATTCGAACCCATGCGTGAATGTCGCCTCTGCTGCTGTTCAGTGCACGCTTCCGTACTATTTGGTGGATTTCATAAGTTTGGTGTCTATGGGTTGGAGCAAATGTGAAAACACGGGTGCCTTTGTTTAGGTTAACACTTCAACCGATATAGCGCGCACTGTACAATAGCTTAGGTAAGGTCTATATCTGGATCTGAATACCCATCAGGGTACGGATCTTTTGATAACTCAGATAAAAAATATGAACTTTGTTATGGAAGTAACTGAAGTTCTGAAAGTCTACCTTTCCCTATTTGTCCGCTCTGAGGTTATTGTTATGACGAATATTTCGTATTTTGTCTGTAATTTCTCACTTAAGAACCATCTTCTATTCATCTGTTAAAATGAGGTGCGCTCAAAGTGGAGAAGTGAAAATAGATACGCGTTTCAACTAATAATGTATCGAAGGGATGTAGCACTGAATCGAAGTCACCGGGATTATAAGTCTAAGGCATCACAGGTCGCCGTTGTATCCAAATCAGACAGTCTTATCTTGTCTTTCAAGAGCTTTTCCTATCAGAGACCGGAAAACCGTTTGTAAAACTTTGTCCTCTGAGTGTAAATTGTACTATTCCAATTAAATTCATCTCATAGTGCGATAAGCTGTCGATTGCTCTTTCAAGCAATGGGTTTTACCCACTCTGTGACTTTCACCATAACAACAGCGCTTGTTTTTACCGGTAAAATCACTTCACTCTCCGGGGAAATCTGTCGTGGTGATATTGCTCCCAAAGCAGAGTTATCACAGTCAACTTTATAGCTACCATGGTGATTTTCTCCGGTTATTTCATTTTAAATTATACGAGGAATTCTTCTCATTTCCTCCCAAAACTTCTCTCATCGAGAGCGGATTCTTCTTAAATACCGCATCTTGCTTCAAGCCAAAATTTGATCGTTGAATAAACTCATATATGAACTACGATTGACCAGATTATGTGATTACCAATTGGATCTAGATTCAATGAAGCTTTCTATGCTTCGCATTTCATCTTCAAATGATGTCCAGTTCTTACTGAGATTCACAAAATCGCCATGAATAAATCCCAATAATTCCACCACATGCTACATAAAAATGATCCAGTGTAACAATATCATATAAACAGCAGTCACTATGAGGTCCGAGAATTATCCGGAAGTAATCACCTGAAAGTATTTAATTCCAATCGAACTACTCAGTTCTTAATCATATAGCGCGTGTGCTTCTATAGAGCATATATATGACATTTTCCTTGTTTTGTTTTTTTCTGGAAACATTCTTTCAAATGATTCTCTGCCTTCGATCACTGATCGCAGAGCTGCTATAATGGAGCACTTCGCTGTATCCCCATTGCATGCGATCTTGGAAAACTATCCTACAAGGCCGGGCCAATCACTCTGCAATTCAGTGCCAGGCTGTGGGATAACACCATGCGACAGGTACGTATGAATGAATGAATTTACGCAATATCCCTGCGAGGAAGTAGAGGACTACGTTTCAAAGTAATTTATCCCAAACTTCTTTGAAAACTTGGAAGCTGTGTGGGGTTGTTCCGACCCTGCTCGTCATCATCCCTCTGCATGCCTCAGCTCAAGTTGAAACACGTCCTCAAAATTTTACGGGTAAATAAATAGTGCAAGCACTAGAAGGTTGAATAAAACCGGTTATCTATGTCAAAATAATGCTACCAATCGTGGCGTTCCCATTCCGAGTCAAAGTATTTCATGATATTCAATGAATTGTTCAAGGTGGCAGTCAGCTATCTGCAGTACCACAGAGGAAGAAGCAAATGTCAGCAATTGCAAAACCGGGATATTTTTGGACAGGCTGATTTCCTTCCTGTATTTGATCTATTTTTTTAAATAATATTGCTCTCCTGGTACCAGCTCAATATTGAATTATTATTCCGATCCAAATATCAAAACTGATAATCTCTTCCGAATTCTGCATCCGGTTTCTAACCTCAAATCTTGATCACTTTCGTAAAATAACACAGGACTTCAAAGATATCTTTCTAACAAAACTTCGATTATCGGCCACTTGGCGAGCCGATGTGAAATACGGTATCGATCTGGACGGATTGGATCATGCTCAGGAAGCGGTAAGTTCGTCTGTTAGCCATCATAGCTTGATAGATTTTCACTGCTAAGCACCGCCATCACCACTAAAACTATCTTGCGAAACAACCCGTCCAGTTCAATTTGTCTGAGTTTCTGTTTTCGAAAACGCATCATCAGTCTATTGTTCATACAACTGTGACGTTCCACAACAAAAACTGACAAAATTAATCATCGGAAAATGCATCCTGGTGTTCCGCACCATCTCGTTACTTACTTACGGGTCTGCGGTTTCTTGAGGAAGTAAATTTAGGCAACCCTTGGAATAAGGCAAGCTTGTTAAGTAACTAACGAAATGCATGCCTGGCTGATCGCCTGCTTCGCGAACTGGGCAACAAGAGAAAATTCTTTCAAAAAACGTTTATTTTCTATCCAACCACCTAATCCCCTACCCCCATGCTTTGCTCCGGTCACTGACCTTGGTTATCACCGTTTAAAAACATTATTTTTATTTGTTCAACTAATCCCAAATATACCACACACACACACACACACACACACACACACGTGTACACATCGAATCATTGTGACAATTGCGGCAGTTTTGCTAACCCCCCACAAGTTCAGCATGTTTGCTTGTTTGACCGCACTTCACAGAGAACGAAATCCCGTGAGAACCATGGACATATGGTGGCGGTGAGCGAATTGAATCGGATACCGGATCTGATGCTTGTACAATCAACTCTATCTGTCGGCTTGCTTCATTTGTGAGGAATGCGCATTTTACTCCAGCATGTGTGGGATGCGATGTTTTCTCGGAAGGTCGGCCGAGGAGAAGAGTGATGTCAGCACAGCTGCAACCCCAAACTTGAATTCCGAAATAATTGGAAGTCTTCAGTGAGGGAGAGAGAGAAAGAGCAGTATAGCTGTGTTCAGAGGATCTTTAAGACCAAACTTAGTTTTCTCATAAACCGTACATTTCCCTCTTCTTCCAATAACTGATTATTCTGTGCGATTCTTCGTGCCGGCAACTCTCAGTATCCCAAAATTATGTTGACAGATTATCTGTCATCATTTTAGGTTTAAAAACCTATCGTTCTTCGTTTGGATAGAAAACTGTTTTCTCCGAAAGTTCTGCTTACTTTAGTTTGACTGAAACCAAATCGCTCGCCAAAGAACTAGCTTTCGCCGTAACTGTTCACTGCTATCCGATAGTAGAGTAACGCTGATCGTTTTCCAGCCAGTTGCTAAAAGTAATTAAACAATCAACCATTGATCGTCTGTACCACTTTGAATTATGTTCTGAAGTAAATACAATTCCTCATCATCATTCTCGATAAAGTCAACAGTATATGATTTCGCTTTCCAAACAATAGCTAAAAACATCCAATTCTGGAACCGAACGAGCTATCACTGGAGAAGAATTCAGAAGGAATCTTTCTATTTCTTTTCCACCTCTTTAATAATCTTAATATAATTAACATAAAGCGGTCTTTGAAAACGATTATGTCGTATTCCGATCTCAACTTATACTCACCTGTCTGGGTGATGCAACAAGGGCTGAGATTAGTTTGTAGTCGCTTGCGTTGTATTCAAGGATTGCATGTTCAATCGGATATTTCTATTGTCTCGCTCCCATTTTCTATGTAATTTTCTGTGTATCACAAACTGTTGAACGTTTACTTGCCCGAAACTATTTCATTGCTCCCGTCTAATCCGGTTTTTCTTTTGTTTTTTCTCGCGTTTATATTTTGTTTGCCGCTTTGCATGCTATCACGTGGTTTGCTCGGTTTTGTTTTCCTCTCGATTGTTTTTATTCTTTGTGTCGCGCCCCGATTATTCAATGTCAAAAAACTCAAATTTGAACTCCGCCTACGTGTGTGTGTGTGTGTGTGGCGTACTGGTCTGTGTGAATCTCACAACCTCGTTTTCTCTGTGTACTTTTGTGATAATTTTTAAAAAAATATTATTTCGGTTGTATGTTTGATTCCACCTAACTCTGCTAATCCATTTATTTCTCCTTGGTCGTTCTTCTTATTTCTCCTTTTTCATGTTATGATTTAAAACTATCTATCCCCTGTCAATTACCTTTCGCAAATGACCAAATGTGAATAATCGTTGCATGCACCTTTGCATTCATGTACATAATGCATAACATTCTTCTTTATTATTACTTAATTAAAATCATAACAATTTTCTTCTCCTTTAACTTGATTAGTATCTTCGAGCCTTTGATTTGGATGAGCTTAGTAATTATGGGTTTCTGGGACATGAGCAGGTAATTTGCTTCCTGGTTGTTTTTCGTTTTCGATGTTTGATTGCCGCATTTGTGCCACAGCTTGCAAATTGTGTGTGTGTGTGTTTGTGTGTGTGTGTGTAACGCATTGCGTTGTGAATAGAGTTTTTTCTCAGCTTTCTATCCTAATCTTGTGTGCATCTATATACATATGTGTAGTAGTGGTAGTAGTAGTAGTAGTAGTAGTAGTAGTAGTAGTAGTAGTAGTAGTAGCATTGCCTCATTGATAGCGACTTACATGTGCTCCACAAAGACGAAATTGTTTGGACAGGAGGAGGGATTGGAGCCGAATATACGCGTAATAAAAATGCCGAGCTGTTTTCCTTTCCAGGTGGAACTACAGATATTTAACAATCTGGAACCGAAACCTGTACCGCCAAGGTATATGGCACTTTATATTGGATTAGCTGTGTTCGGAGGTGTTCTTCTGTTAGCCCTACTCGTCCTGATTCTTTACAAAGTGAGTTGGATTAAAATTATAACGGATATAACAATACTTGGATTACTCTTATTACACGTTTGCGCATTAGTAGCCGATTCAATTTAATGGTCGCTTTTTTATCGTTTATGATTTCCCGAATTATAAGTAATAAGCTGATCAGTTATAACGCTCATTATCCGAATTCATGGACTTACAGTTGAAATGCTCATTTGTATCGTATTGCTCTTTGTTTGTTCTGATGCATTAAAATACATTTCATATAATCCTTATTTTTTCAAATAACACCGTTATTTACTGATAAAGTTTCCAGGTCCCTTAGAGGGACTACTGGACCCGTTTGGCAAATCGAATGAGTCTCAGATCATGGACGAAACAGATGCTGCAGAATTTTACACTTTATGTTTCTTCGTCCTTGAAATCTTTCCTTGTTGCCGAGTTTCGAAGCAACGCTAACTTGCACTATTAATTCACTTAAAATGTGCCAGATCAACTTAGAAACACCAGTTTTCTCATGGGTTGTTATCGGTCGCGAGGTTTAAGTAGCTTTAAATGGTGTGCCCAAAGCACTAAGACCCGAGGTCAGAATCGTGCCACAGCCACCGTGCTGTGGTGCTAGGCAGCTTTGCTTTCATCCTGATCAATACCGTGCGTATCCTATTTGAATCTAATGTATGCCGCTGGTTGAAGTTACAGGATTTGTCTGGTCGGTCCTCGTAATTTAGTGCTGGGCCCTCACGGTTGAGACGTTTATCTTACCTGCTATTTGTCACACCACGGTGTTATAGATATATGCTGTATTTAGACTCAACAGGAAGAGCTTTAGACCTCATCAATTTGCTCAACTCCTCAGCCTATGCATGCTTCTTTTTACATGAAGGAACTCTTTCGTCTCTAACCCGAATACTTGCATGTCAGTACTAAAACTATTTCATCTTTTTANCTTTACGATCCGCTCCGGTTGCTTCTGGTGTCAGAGATTCCCGGAATCCTACAAGCGCGAGCTACCGCCAAGTTGGATATCAACCGGTCCCTCAGGTTGATCCGTACGCTTCCGACATTCGCAGTTCAGGATATCAGCCGAATCCCGATGGAACTCGGGGCTCCTATCAGAATGATTATCGGCGATCNCCCATGCTCATCCACGTTCTCAGGGTTCGGGACACATCCAGGCATGGGAAGATTAGGAAACATGTCACGATGCTTCCATTAATGGCAACCATTTGTACGCATTCACAGATCAAACCAAACTGCGCACTACCTGCTTTCTTTCCTCTTTCACCCCATCCCTCGCCACCGCCACCGCCAACACTACTGTCCAGTTCAATCCGCTCACGTCAAACTTGCTCGCCTTCGTTGTTGTGATGTGAACTTGCAAATGCTCCATATGCTCATGGATCGTTGGCACATAAGTGCACAAACTCTCATGCGTGCACGCTCTGGTGAAGCTCACATCTCTCATATTCGAATGCAAAGCGGCTCCCCCCAGATGACGTGAATTCGGTTGCTTCGCTTGAAGCGTGCGTGCGCACACAAGCCATGTATATTTATACTTTTTGCAAGCCATTATTGTTCATATTCATTCAGCCAAGCCCACCCGGAACCATTCTGTACGCCTGTTTATTGCCTAGCCTTTATCCTGATTCGGAAAGGCCATTGGTGATGATGAGACATGACGAAGTAGCCTCCCAGCAGGATGTGCGATTTCCGTGTCCGACCGGCGACCTTTGAGATACTCGCACGTACCCGTGCCTGAATACGACTAATCCCCATACACAACACTTGCATACATACACACATATATACACACACAATACATAAGTCTGCATACACATGCGTCCACACGTGTAAACACAAACACAAACAACGAGTTTTCTCGATTTTTTATTAGATTATACATTTTTTCACAATGACCAAAGATGCACACACAGTTAAATGACTTTTCTGTCGATTCAGAGGAAGGAGATAATAGCTTCGGGTAACTAATACACATTGGAAATCACCAAGTGTCGCATCCTCGGAATGCCTAGCTCGCTGTGATATTTTGACCCCCGATCTTAAACTTTCAATTTTCCGTAAAATACAGCGTTTTTTGTCGTGATGGTTGTTAGTGGTGGCTGCGGTGGTGATGGTGGTGGTGGTGGTGGTGGTGATTCGGATGATGATGAGGAGGCTGATGAGGAAGAGAAGGAGGAGGAGGATGGTATTGTGGCATCTTGAAACGCCTAATTACCAAGGAACGATCTCATTGTTCTGCGTTTCAACGAAATTCGCATTACGCAAATCTGAAATGAACTGAAGAACCACTATCTTGAATGAGTCCTTCTAAAAACACGTCAATATCTCAGACCCTCTCAGTTTGGTACGATTGTTATTTATGTTTCATCCAATCGTCACTGAAGTCCCCTAAAACCACTGATTAGCTGCGTTATTTCTTGTTCAGTATTATCAAACAACCGCAGGTGATGAATGGTTCTATCGTAAGCAAGCATACACGTAATGCCTTTGTTAAAATCCATTCATTTTGACAACATTACTTTTTATCAGTTGTTGACTGGTGCTGACCGGTAATTGATGCCTACCATGACGTCAGTTCGCGACCAATGATGTCTAGTACATAAAAAGGATCGACAAGGTTTTAGATTACGTTGCGTTTGCAGTCTTAATGGTGTGGGTTTACTGTGTCCTTCGACGACGAGAAAATACCTCAAACGATTAAAAATAAAAGTGAAAATACCAAAGTGAACTTTGATCAAAACGCGAGTATCAAGCACCAGGGTTAACGAAAGGTGGTTTTGGAAACTTTCCCCAATTGATAGAAATATCTAGAAAGCAGGGAATCATAGGGGTTTTCATGACCGGTGTGTATGTGTGTGCGTGTGAGAGAGAAGCATAAGTGAATCGGAGGAACATGAAAATGAGTACCATTCAGGTCAGTTCAGGTCAAGTCAGGTCAGATCGGTTAACAGGACGTAGTGGCGGGGTGC